AGCATCTGCAGTTCCTACTATCTCTTCCTCTAGAAACATTTGGATTGGCTGTGAGAGATGTTAATCCCTGGCTCTCACTGTCATTTCCTGATGTTGTTCAGCAACCGGGACACGATATACAGGAAGAAGTGCAAGATCCACTTACAGGAGAGACAGTGGGGTACTGTTTCAGCTCAGCTGCTGCTGAAACCCTGATCCATAAATTTGTAGGTTCTAGACTCAGTTTTTCTCATGCTCTGAAATGAATCAACATGAGCCAAGATGCAGTTGCTGGTCTCAATTCCCTTGGTAAATGGTTGAAAGCATTAATAGAAATTTGTCCAGGTGGGGCTAGTGGAAGGTTAGGAAGTGGCAGAGGCAGCAGATGGGATTGTTTCAATATTATTTCTCTAAGCAGACAGGTTGATAACCAGGGAACAGAAATTTAAGGTAAATGTTAGAAGGATTAGAGGGCAGTTGAGGAATAGCAGTGCCACCATCCCCCTCACCCCCGTGGGTGGTGGGGGCTTGGACTATAGTGTCTATAAGGACGATAATGGCAGAAACATCCATCGTATTTAAAGAATGCTCAGAGGTGAACTTGTAGAATAACTTGTCCATGTTTAAAATAGGGATGGAATAACTTCTCCAAATTCACATTGTTCCATCAAACATTCACAGAGAATGTAAAGCACACGTTAGATACAGAGTCAAGCTGCATCTAAACTGTCCTTGGAGTGTTGGGTTAATCCAGGTCACTCACAACCTGATTATGATTAAGATTCTGTTGTCTCAGTCACTCAGACCCTCCTATATTTTTAAAATTCTTTCAAGGGATGTGGGCACAGGCTACAGCAGCATTTATTACCAATCCCTAATTAAGAGTCACCCACATTGCTGTCACTTATAGGCCAAACTGGATAGGGACGACACTTTCCTTCCCTGAAGGACATTAGTGAATCTGATGGTGTTTTATGACAATCAACAGTGGGTATAGAGCTGCCATAATACTACTTTAGTTTTTACTTATTTTATTGAATTCAAATTTCACCATCTGCCATGATGGAATTCTAACCAATTTCTTTGGATTTACGAATCTTGTGACATTACCACTTTGTCGCCACTTTCTCCCCACACTCAGAATCGTAGTCCTCCCAGACAGGACAGTACAAACATTCCCCATGCTATTAGTCAAACACCCATCACCTGAAGAGGATTTGTCTACAATTCACATCCCCAACTAAAACAAGATCCAATTTTACACTGTATCCATAAGAGCTGGCTCAATTTACAAGCACAGGAGCCACAGCATTAAAATTGGAGTCGGGCTGTTCAGGAGTGGGTTTAGCAAATGTCAGGAAGGCAGGTAGTGCATGGCCCTGAATGTATTCCACTCTCCAACCAGTACTGAGCTCTGAATCCTGATGAAAGTGATGGGTAATCTGGGAGTCCATGGTACCACAGCTGGCTCAGCTGTACAGGTAGGTACACTGAAGACTGGAAGAGCAATCGTGATTGGAGACTCAACAGCTCTGGGAACAGATAGATACAGCTGGAAATGCGAATCCAGGATGGTATGTTACCTCCCTGGAGCCAGGGTAAGGGATGTGACTGAATAACTGCAAATGTCAGTGGGAGATTGTTTAGGAGAGAGTGATCATTGTATCACAGGGGTAAGGTTGCCTCTGCAAAAAGACAACATAGAACATAGAACTGTACAGCACAGGAACGGGCTCTTCAGCCTATGATGTTTAGCCGAACATGACACCAAATTAAACTAATCCCTTCTGCCTGCCCTTGCTCCATATCCTTTCGTTCCTTGCATATTCATGTGCTTCTCTAAAAGTCTCTTAAATGCCCCTATCATATTTGCTTCCACCACCACCCCGGCAGCGTGTTCCACACCCCTACCACTGTCTGTGTAAAAAACTTACCTTCTTTGAACTTTTCCCCTCTCACCCTAAATGCATGCCCCCAGTATTAGACGTTTCAACTCTAAGAAAAAGATTCTAATCATCAACCCTATCTATGCGTCTCATAATTTTACAGTTCTACCAACTCTCTGCTCAGCATTTGCCACTCCAGAGAAAACAACCTGAGTTTTTCCAGCCTCTCCTTAAAGCTCATATCCTCTAATCCAAACACCATCCTGGTAAACCTCTTCTGCACCCTCTGCAAAGCTTCCACATCCTTCCTGTAATGTGACGACCAGAACTGAATGCAATACTTTAAGTCTGGCACAAACAAAGTCTTATAAAGCTGCAACATGACATTCTGACTTTTGTACTCAATTCCCCGACCAATAAAGGCAAGCGTGCCATATGCCAACTTTCCGGGAGCTACGTACTTGAACCCGAAGATCAATGCTGTTCAGGGTCCTGCCATTAACTGTAAACTTTTCTTTAACATTTGATCTCCCAAAGAGCAGCACCTCACACTTACATGGACTAAACTCCATCTGCTATTTCTCCATTCATATCTGCAACTGATCTAGATCCCGCTGTATCCTTTGATAACCTTCTACACTATCTACAACTCCACTGATCTTTGTATTGTCTGCAAACTTACTAACTTACCCATCTAAAGGAGCAGTTCAGAGTGAGAATATTTAACGAGTTGAAAGCCAACTGGAATTGGAAAAGAATAGTTCAGACCCAGACAACTGGTTGCTGGCAAAATGGTCACTGAATGAACTCATACATTTAAAGAGGAGATAGTTAGGTACATGTCAAGATTTAGAAAGTGGAAGTTATGGCCAGCACCTCCACAATGTTCAATTTTCCTTAGATTCACGGGTGACGCCAAAGGACTGGACAATTTATAGCTTTGTTTGTTCTTAATGCAAACATGATCCCTTCAAAAAGGAATGTGAAGATAAGCCCAATGACTACAGACCAGTCAGTTTAATGTCAGCGAAGAGGATACTTTGAGAAACAGTAATTCAGAATAAAATTAACAGTCATTTTGGCGAATGTGGATTACTTAACAAAAGACAACACAGATTTCACAAGTTTGATTGAGTGTCCAAATCCATCATTATGCAACTCACTTGAGGAGTTTCTCCCCTGTGTGGATTATCTGATGTCGCAGGAGGCTTGATGACTGTGTGAATGCTCGGTCACAGACCTCACACTTGAAAGGCTTCTCACCTGTGTGGATTGTTTGATTTGTATTAGGTGTGATGACTGTGTGAAGGCCAGGTCACAAACCTCACATTTGAAGGGTTTCTCCCCTGTGTGAATTCGTTGGTGTCTATGGAGGTTTGTTAACTTTGAAAATGATTTATCACATACCTCACAGATGAAGGGTTTCTCCCCTGTGTGAATGCGCTGGTGAGCACGGAGGCTTGATGATTGCGAGAATGATTTATTGCACACCTCGCACATGAATGGTTTCTCACCAGTGTGAGTGCGTTGGTGCCTCGCCAGGTCTGATGATCTTCCAAAGCCCTCACAACACACCATACACTTAAAAGGTTTCTCCCCTGTGTGAATCCTTTCATGTATCAGGAGATCAGACGATTGAACAAAAGCCATCACACAAACCTTACACTTGAAGGGCTTTTCCCCTGTGTGAAACCTCTGGTGTGTCAGCAACCTTGTAGATGTTGCAAAAGCTTTATCACAAACCTCACATTTGAATGGTTTCTCCCCTGTGTGGATTGTCCAATGAACTCGGAGGTGCGATAACTGTGTAAAGGTTTTGTTGCACACTTTGCACGTGAATGACTTCTCCCTTGTGTGAATTTGTTGGTGTACACGGAGGTTTGTTAACTGTGAAAATGATTTGTCACACATGGGGCAGGTGAATGGTTTCTCTCCAGTGTGAATGCGTCGGTGAGTGCTGAGGTTCCACGACGGTAAGAATGACTTGATGCACACTTCACATGCAAATGATTTCTGGATAGTGTGAATATGTTGATATTGAACCAGATCCGGTAATCGTCCAAATCTCTTACCCCGCACTTCACTTTTGAAGTGTTTTTCCCCTGTGTGGACTGTCTGATGTACCAGAAGATTGGATAACTGTGTGAAGGTTTTGTCGCACACACCGCACATGAATGACTTCTCCCCTGCATGAATGCGTTTGTGAACATGCAGGTTCACTGACTGTGAGAATGATTTGGCACACACGTCACATTTGAAGGGTTCCTCCATTGTGTGAATTGTCTGGTGCATCAGAAGATTGGAGGATTAGACAAAGGCTAGTACACAAACCTCATCCAGAGGGTTGTTCTCCTGTATGAAACCTCTGGTGGTGCATCATGAGCTTTGCAAGTGTCTCCTGTGTGGATTGCCTAATGGACCAGGAGCTTTGATGATCTGTTATGCAGCTTACACGTTGAATGTATTCTCTCCTGTTTGTTAACTTCGAGAATGATTTGTCACATACCTCACACATGAATAACTTCTCCCATCTGTGAACATGCTGGTATCTGCAGAGGGTCAATAACTTTCAAAAATGACTCATCACACATCTCACACCTGATAGCATTTTTATCAATGTAGATACATTTGTGTCTCAGGATTGTTGGTGACTGTGTGAAGTCCTCGTCACATACTCAACTGTTTCAATGCCAGATGCCTCTTCAGAATTGAAGCCTGCATGTTATGAAAACTTATGGGACTGTGGAGTCCTCTTAGAAAAATTCACATTTGAGCAGTCCTTCATTTGTAGGAATAAGTTAGTGGTTCATGAGGCTTGAATGACTGAAGCTGTCACTGTACTTGGAGCCCATTCATGCTCTTCTGTGTTGAGCAGTGCTGTCAAGGGACTGGATGTATTCCCACAGTTGTGTAGTTATTTCTTGGGTTGTGGTCAGGATCTATCTGCGGTGTCGATCTTTTATGCATTATCTGTTGTAAATACAGTGCAGTCCTTCTGTAAAACAGGAAAAGGAAACATGATTTCCTCCAACTCCCTCTCCTCCTTTGCTGAAGAGGTTGACTCCTTAGTTAGAGACTGTTCCATATTGAGTGCCCATCTGCTATTCCCCTGTGTAGGCAATCAGAAACAAGTCCTTTCATTTTCCTCACTTGATTGACACTCATCATCTGTTTGCTGCAGGAACACTGTCTTCTCCTGGTCAATATCCAATGTGGCTACTTTCTTTCCTTTACCCAGGCCCAACTTGCCATGAGGGTAATGGCAAGGCCAAAGGTGGGAGTGTAAAAGAGGCTATAATTCATAATGAATTGTGTTATGCTGGTGAAGATTAATTTTATTTTGGGAGTATGTGTTTAAAAAATATTCAGGAGAAATGTGAATTCAGTAGTGATTTTGAAATGTTACACTTTGTTTTCCAAGAAGCATATTTGAAGGAAACAGAGTGGAAAATGCTAGAATTTGAGGAGAATATTGCTTCAGTATAGCTGATTTGAAGGGTTCTGGTTTATCCTGGGCAATTAGACACACTGCGCTCTCTCAGACTGTACATTCCAAATTCAGCTCTCAGCCACAGCACTGGGCACAAGCATCAAATCGAATGTCAGGCTTTTGTGGAAGGCTGAGGCCTTCAGGTAAAATTCTTACAAAATGGCATGGAAATAAATTCACTAAATCCATCTCTGGGTTTGGCTGCTGAATTGTTGTGGAGCTGGATTAACGATCCAGAGGTTGAGAATTTCAAATCCAACCACAGAAAGTTACACCCACAGAATTACAGGCCATTCAACCGAATTGGTCCATACTGGTTCTTGTGCTTCACACGAGCCTCCTGTCACTGTTGAGAAGACTCAAGTGTGTGTTTGAAAGCAAAATTGAAAGTCTGTTATGTTTTAACCATCTTTCTAAGATAAGGGACAAAAAGTACCCTCACGAGGGTGACTGGTCAGAGGTTGCACAGCTCTGCCCACCAACATGTCAGCTTGTATTGTTTCCATGGGAACAGGCTGGGACTTGCTGAGTGAGGTGCACAGTTATAATACCTGTGCGCAAAGGCAATCAGGTAGGGCTGACAGAAGACTTTCTGACTCTGAGATTATGGACAGAGGGAAAGAGAGACCAAGGACTGCAGCCAGTGTGGTCAGCAGAGAGGAGAAGATGTCGTTTCTGTGGACTGCCAGGTAGCACATAGTTTCAAGTTGACGAGACGGAATGTGACAATCTAAAGACTTTGGAAAATTCAACCTTGCAGGGCCAGAGATTGGATCACTGGAAGGGTCCTCAGTGTTGGTAGGTAGTTCAGACTTCTCTGGAAATTCAGGGAAATAACTTTTGATGGCCATTGAAAGTTATGTTTTTGTGGAACAGAGATGAGTGACCCAGTTGGAAGACGATGGTGGTGTTGGACTTGTCCTTGTAAAACTTATGATAAAGCAAATAGCAGGTCTTAAAACATAATAGGGTTATGGAGTGTTTGGTCATATTATAGGTTAAAGGGAGTTATCCTTTCTGTAGTTTAGTGTATCAGTTGCCAACGAGGTTGTGGTTAGTCAATGTTTCTTTTAGTTTGTTTGCTTACATAAAAATCTGTCAATTGGAAATCCTACATGCACTACCTTTAAGTGGGTCGCTAAGAATTCTAAATGATCAGTGTCAACAGGGACTGTAACAATTTCTCAGTCAACACCACAAAAATGTACTATCTTGTCACTGCCGTATGTGGGAGTTTGCTGTGACTACATTGGTCACCATTAAAACATGTCAACAGTGACCACATTTCAAAAATGGTGGTTGTGAAAGGATCTGCATAAATTCATGAGAAGGGTCTAGGTCTGAAACGTCAGCTTTTCCTGCTCCTCTGATGCTGCTTGTGTTCATCCAGCTCTACACCTTGTTATCTCAGATTCTCCAGCATCTGCAGTTCCTACTATCTCTGCATAAATTCATGTCTGTCTTTTTCTCTTTTCCGAGGATGTGGTGAGAGAAGGTTGTGGGAGATCTTGAAAGGATTTGAAAGAAACATCGGAAGGGAAATAAAATAAACACACACAATTTCCAACACAGAGCTCCAGTCAAACAGTTCAGCACAAAGCACTGAGTAAACAGCTCTCTCAGCTGGATCTTCTCACACAGCATAAGGAACATTTCCACCCCTGATTACCCACAGGATAGTCAGACTGCCTGAAGATTGGTGTGGATATTATGGGATAGAATTTGTATAAAAGCTGCTCCTTCACTCACCATCTCCTCACTTGGTTTTCAGTCCCTATAGGAAGTGAATTATCTCTGGAAGAGGAAGAGGAGAGAATGGGCGGAGTGGGTGGGCTCTCTGATTGACGTCTCTCACAGTCAATCCAAATATTTCTGGAACAACATGCGCTTCCCGAAGCTTGGGAAACGGGTAGAAATGAGGTACCTCCATAATACTGCACAACGAACCCGACTTCATTCCCCAAATCAGCGGTTTGCGCTGTCAATGTCATCTCTCTTGTCGCTATCTTTCATTTATGTGCCCTTCCATATTTTACCCCTCTATCCTATTCCCCTTCCCCTTGCGCATGTTTTGATCGTTTCTGCTACTGCAATACGTGAGGTTTTATTCAGATGGGACAATGACAAGTTTAAATTCCCAACTGATCTGCTGCTCAAAGATACCTCCATTTCACCGGTCAGTTTCCCAAGCTTCCGGAAACTCATGTTGCTGCAGAAATATTTGGATTGACTGTGAGAGACGTCAATCAGAGAGCCCACCCACTCTGCCCATTCTCTCCTCTTCCTCTTCCAGAGCTGGTTCACTTCGTGTAGGGACTGAAAACCAAGTGAGGAGATGGTGAGTGAAGGAGCAGCTTTTATACAAATTGTATCCCATAATATCCACACCAATCTTCAGGCAGTCTGACTATCCTGTGGGCAATCAGGGGTGGAGATGTCCCTTATGCTGTGTGAGAAGATCCAGCTGAGAGAGCTGTTTACTGGGTGCTTTGCGCTGAACTGTTTGACTGGAACTGTGTTGGATATTGAGTGTGTTTATTGGAAGCATTTCCCTTCTGATTTCCAGGCTGAGTTTTGTTGATGGCTCATTCCTGAAAATGAGAAGGCGAGGTGTAATTTTCTGGGAGGTGCATAGTTACAATGGGTTTTTGCAGCAGCTATTTCTGCGGTCAATGCTGGATTTCATTGTGACCAACTGAAGAGTTGGATCAGTGCTCAGAACTGAAGCTCTATGTTGAAATCAATGTGTAAGGAGAAGGTGAATAGAATCTGATTTGTTGGAGAGAAATGTATCATGTATAGTTCTGTTTCCTGGTCATTGATGTGGTTTGTGGAACTGAGCTTGTTGGTCTGTAGATTAATTCTTGATCATAAAGACTATTGTTTTAAAGCGGAGGTTGAACCCCCACCCCGAGAACTAAAACCAAAACACCCAAACGGAGCACCTCGCCCTAGAATGTGTAAAAAGACTTGAAAAGTGGTGTTAAAATCGAATCAGAGATAGTAGGAACTGCAGACGCTGGAGAATCCGAGACAACAAGGTGCAGGGCTGGATGAACCTGCTTTTCAGTTACTTCTAGTGGGTAAATAAAATAAATCCCTGACACTCACTTTAAAATCAATAAGTAGCATTTTATTTATCCAAGTCTAAGAGTGAACAAATTAACTAAACTATTAACAAACTGAATAAATCCCTTTCTAACTACTAACTATTCCTGAATAAGATTCTAATGGTGTGCTGTTCCAGTAAATAGAAGTCCCACTCATATAACCAAAAAAAGAAGTTAGTCTCTTGAAATTACAGCCGGTTACGTGTCTTCTGGAATGTTGCGTGCCTTCTCCATCGTTTCTTCTGTCAGGAACACTTTCTCTGTTGATTCTTTTGTCAGGAATATTCACTAGTTATGTTGTTGGTACTGTTATTATTTAGATGGTGCTTTTTCTAATGCATTGATGATGCTGGCAAGACAGCGAATCTCTCTTGAGCTGAGGTGTGTTAGCTCTGGCGATGGCAGTTAGTCCTTTTCCCAACTGCTCCCTTATTTACCCTTGATGACGTATCAGCATTTCTTACAATAGGTTTGGTCCTTTGTTGTCAAAACCATCTGATTTATATACAATAGGTTTTTGGTATCTAAGTGCCTGGTTCAAATTGATTGGCTAAATCAATCTTTCAAAAGCCTGTTGTCTTCGTAAATCTGCCACTTGGCCAGCTAACTGTATGGCCTTTTGATACAAATGTTTCAATTTGGGTTCTCTGTGTACTTGCAGACTTTTAAGCTGCTGCTCACTGACTTCCATAGAAAATCTCTAAGCACAGAAAATAAAAACATCTTTTAAAGGGACTACGCAATGCTTTCCCCCCAGCATTTTGCAATTTTTACATCTTTACAAATACCAAATTCTAAATTCTGGCCTCCCAATTTACAGTTATTCTACCCAACTTTGCAACACTATATTCAGTCTGCTTGTTGGCAAGATCCTGGAATGAGGCTGTGCCGTACTATGAGACTGTGGTGGAATTCAATTCAGTTGTTTATAGCTCTCTGCACCGCATAATCTGTCCTTAGTCTACTTCCCTTGTGATGATGAACATTGTTAGAACACTGGCTGATTTTTCATTATTTTTGTTCTTTTATCAATTTTGGTTTGCATTTGTAAACTGGGAATTATGAGCTAAAGTTGTCTTGTGGATTTTGGGAAACAGCTTGTGCTGAAAGGAAAAGTCAATATTGAGGACTTCTGCATCTACCAGAGGATGGGACATATCCGGGGATGGTTATATAGGAGTCTTGGATATTTCAAGATTGATATGATTCAGTGTTTATCTCTGCTACTTGACCAGTCTGTGGGCAGCCTCCTGACTTGGAGACTTGTCCTCAGATCATGATAGTTTTGCCCAGTACTGTGGCTAATAGCTGAATTTATGATGTGCAGTCTGAATGAGTGCAGTAGATCTAACTTCCCAGTATAAACCAGACCCCTTCAATCAGCTGAAGTGATATTTTCCTCTGCTTCAAGCACTTCATGCCCAGTGTGGTTTCTTCAAATAATTTTGGAAAACAAGAGGAGAAATTCCAATATTGCCATTGAAATAACATTTCTCCTGAGTGATTTTTATATTAAACACACATTCTGATGTGAAGGAAAATGCTGTAAATGGTGGAATATTTGTCATGGCACTGGACTTGTGCTGGGGGACAGGGGTACAAATGCAACCTGTAAGAATGGAAATCTGCCATCCTTCCGTGGCCTGGCCTATCTGTGACTCCAGCAATGTTAACTGCCCTTTGTGATAGCTTTGCAAGCCACCCAGTTCAGTGACAATTCAGAATGGGAAACAAATCACCAAAAATATGCCTGCCTTGAGTGAAACGTTTCTGCGAATCTGAAACATCGGCAGTGTTGCGAAGTTGTTGTGTGTAAAATTGTGAAAATGCTAGGGGGAAAGCATTGCATGGTCGTACTAAAAGATGTTTTTTTTTCTATGCTTAGAGTTTTCTTTAAAAGATGCCAGTTTGCAGGTGCACGGTGAGCCCGAATTGAAGCATTTTGTATTAAAAGTTCAAAGCAGCATTTTTACCAAGACAACAGGTTTTAAATTTACTCAATCAATTTAAACCAGGCCCTTAGCTACCAAAAACCTAAGAAATTTAAATCTGCTGGTTTTGACAACATAGGACCAATCCGATTGGAAAATATTGATAGGTCATCAGTGGTATAAAAGAAGGGAGGCAGTCGGAAAGAGCCCCAGAGCTAACTGCCATCTGATAAGAGATCAGCTTTCTCAGCTCTTAGAGAAAGCATCATCGAAATAAAGGTACTGCGGCACTCTTAGCTAATATTCCCAACAAAAGGATTTGACAGAGAAGGGATTCCTGACAGAGCATTCAACAGAAAAGGCACAGGAACAAAAACAGAAGTTGCTGGAAAAGCTCAGCAGGGCTGGCCACATCTGTGAAGAGAAAATTAAAGTTAACGTTTCGGGTCTGGTGACCCTTCCTCAGAACTAGACACAGAACATGTCGGAAGACACATAACCTGGCTGTAATTTTGAGAGACTAAGTTGTCATTTTTAATATTATTTTGTCCATATAAGTGGTACTTATATTCATTGGAACAGCATACCATTAGAATTTTGTTTTATTCAGGAATAGTTGGTAGTTAGAGGGGAATTGCTTGTTTGTTAATAGTTCAGTTAAGTTGTCCACTCTTAGAGTTAGATAAATAAATTGTTACTTATTGATTATAGAGTTACTGTCAGCAGTTTATTTCATTTAACCACTCCTTTATAACAGATTGGGGGTGGGAGGCAGGTTATGCCACTTTTCACACTTTTAACAGATTATAGGGTGAGGTGAGCCCCACTGGGTGTTTCAATTTTAGTTATCAGAGTGGGGGTCGAACCCCACTTTATAACAGGTTGGGGGCTTGGGTCCACGATCAGGACGGATCGTGTTCCAGATCTGGACAGCTCATCTCCAGGATCTGAATGGATTTGGATGGATCTGGACAGGTTTGAACAGATTTAGGGTACAAAGGGTTCCAGCAGATTTAAACAGACTTGGGGACGAATGTCTTAGATCTTTGAATAAAATTTAAGTGAGAAGTGGAAAATCTGTTTAATTCCAGTTTCTTGTTGTTGGTTAAATGAAAAGTGGGGAAATTGCTCTTAACATTGTTAAAGAGGTTCTGGGGATGGAAGAAGTGACTTTGGAGGTTTTACGAAAGGTGAGCAAAGCAAAGCTGTTGGAGTTAGCAGACAGGCTAAATTTGGGTTTAATTGGGGATAATAGGAAAACTGAAATTGTAATGAAGTTAGCCAAACATTTAGGTATATCAGAGAAGCAGTCAAGTGCAATGGAGTTAAAAAAGAATAAAATGCAACTGAGACATTTGAAGTTAGAAGATAAAGAAAAGGAAAGAGAACTGAAACAGTTTGAGTTACAGTTAAAAGCACAAGAAAGGGGAAAAGAGAGAGAAGAAAGGGAGAAGGAGAGAGTTTGAACTTCAGAAATTGGCAATTAGACAGGATAGTCGACTTAAAAGGATGGAGACGAAGATAGGTTTAGTGAGGAGGATAGTAAAGATAAGCAAACCCATCATAGGCAAAGACTTGGTAGGCATATAGACAAATACGTCAAAACATTTCCAAAATTCGATTGAAGAAATGTAGAAGCCTTTTTCATTTCCTTTGAGAAATTGGCTAAACAGAAACTGTGTCTGTAATGTTAACTCAGACCAAGTTGGTAGGTAGGGCTAGTGAGGCGTTTGCAGTGCTGTCAGAGGAGGTGTCAGGAGAATATGAAGAAGTAAAACAGGCTATTTTGAGTGCCTAGAGTTGGTAGCAGAAGCATGTAGACAATAGTTCAGAAATGTAAGAAAGGTACCAGATCAGACTTATACCGAGTTTGAAAGAATTAAACAGAGCAACTTTGATAGATGGCTGAGAGCATTAAAGATAGAAAAGACCTTGGAGGCTCTTAGAGCTATTATTCTGTGAAGGAGTTTAAAAACTCACTTCCAGAAGTACTAAAAACTCATATTGAGGAACAGAAAGTTAAAACAGCGAGAAGAGCTGTAGAGATGGCGGATGAATACGCATTAGTGCATAAATCGAAATCTAGCTTCCGACAGCAATTTCATTCCACGAGGGATAGAAATTGGGAAAGAGGGAGATTCTTCAATGAAAAACAAAAAGTGGATCACACTGGGATCAGTTTACCAAAGGTGGAAAAAGAAATCCAAGAGGGTGGAAAAGAGGTGAAAGATCTGAGGTGGTTTCACTGCAATAAGGTGGGACGCACAAAGTCACAGTGCTGGTGGTTGAAGAAAGGC